TGTGCTCCATCGTCTTTTGTGGTGTGCCAGTGGGGTTATTACGCCAGTAACTGCCGGGCCAAAGGCGATCACAAGTTTTGTAGATTACCGTGACAAGCAGAGGGAACACTGCACTAGTCGAGTGACTGACGAACCACCAGGCACAAATGCTTTGCCACTGTTAGTGGCGTTCCCCTCGGGATCCTTGAATTGACCTCGTTTGGCATGAACACACTAAAAAGTTTCATCTTGCGCAGGAGTTTACGAAAACCTCCCTGAAAACCGAGTTCGGTTATAGGATGTTCGCAGTTACCCCTTGCGAGGAATGAATACGGTAAGAAGCTTTGTTTCGTTCGACCGCGCGCTGATTTCTTTGAGACAGACACCCAATCGGCCTTCCGAATGTTCTAGACAACGATCCTGTATGTCTCCTTCACTGAAGCCGGTTTTCGTTTAATCTGGTCGAGGAAGGTGTGTATTCCAGAGGTTTCTTCACGGCAGAAGATTCGCTTCCACGTTTGCAGATCTGGTTTCCTGGCCCAGCAGCAGATGGAATGAAAAGTCACGACACAGTGGCCTTCATGTCCGAAAAATTCCTTAATGTAATTTGCTCAACGAGACAGCTTTCTTTAATCCAGCCTGCTGGGGATCCGGTTGGAACGACGACACGCCGTGTCCAAGCGTCCTGATTAGCGACTTTAATTAGAGCCGATAAGAAATGTCTTTTAAACACGATAGTCTACAACTCCAAAACGAGCTTTGAAATCACCTACCAGAAAAAGCTTTGTGAAGTAGTAGTGAAGTGGTCTGGTCACCTGATAAGTTAGTTTACCGGGAGTGTGTGGCAAAGAAATAAAAATAATTACGCTAGTTTGGGTATACAAAAATAAAGAGGTCAGATAGAACAGACTCACTAACAATTGTTCTTTATAAAATAGTTCGTCGTTCGCCCAGGTCAGCGAATAGACAATAATCTAATTATGTTGGTCCAGAGGTCTTCTGAACAGTTCCCACATATAATAGATTCCGAAGATGTCTGAATGTTTTGGTACCAGAGTTAGTACATGAGACTCGCGAATGACCGCTACAAGTGCGAGCGAAATCAGGAGAGTCGGAGCACGTGACCACGCTTGTATTCTGTGAAATTGTACAAGTGCGCGTTTTTGTAGTTTTTCGTATTCAAACAAAAAACGATTATGCAATTGATGAAATAAGTGGTGTTATAATGCAAGTAAGATAAAGGTAGAAATTAGCAAGAGGAGGTCTGCTCGAACATTCCAATGATCGTCGGGTCGTTATCCGGTGGACCTGAGTGACAACAGTGTATGTCACCGAGCAGAATAGAGCTGGTTTCACGTTTGGGGGTTTGAATCTTCAGTGCGCTACAAAATGGTGTATTGGTGGTGCCCGACAGAAAACTCAAGTCGGTATGGGCTGCAGTTTTTATACCGTGACTACACCTACACTTCAGGTTTTGGAATCATTCCGGAAAATTGAGTAACCGTCCATCGATATCACATTATCACAGACTTTAAGTGTGATTCAGGTATATTCAGATGACAGCATGGACGGTTGCGGACATCGAGAATTTGGGCCGCAGGCTATTGGCAAACCCAAATTGAGTTTGCCGAAACTATAGGGTTTTCGAAGTCGCTATTTTAATGGAAAGTTTGTCTAATCAATTAGCACCTTCCCGTGGCATGTTGTACGTAGCATTTTGTTTAAGTAAGCCAAAGTTCAAGGTCATTGACCATCGCCGATTTGCATTTTTTGCCGGTTTACGCGACATAAAAAACGAAATCTCACTTTAGCATATTTTGGCATTCTTCGGTGTTCCTGAAGAATAAAAATAAAATCTCAAGAGGATTTAATGCAAATGTCACCCGATAGGATCAGTCACAGACGTTTGTTTGCATTAGACACCTCAGATTTAACAAATGGGATGTTTTTGCTTGGTGAACCTGCTCACAACACATTTTCCTCATGGGTCTCATGTTCCATTAAGTGCAACAAAGTTAGATTACAGCACAAACTTGCAGTGGCAGTGCGAGGGACATCTGTGGACGATCCCCTTTCCCAGATATGAATAACTAGCATGTAGGTAATACTGTTACGAGATAGCTGTGGGCGTCTTTCCTATTACAACTACGACGCTCCATAGGTGGTAACCACCATAAAGCGGTCACCACGATGACGGTAGCCGTTGTCACTCGCCTCGACTACCTATTGTAGCTGCTGGATCCGTGTCTATGTGCGACGCTAATTAGGGTTCGCCACATATGTGTGACAGCCCAATCCAATGAGCAACGACGGCCTTTTGTACTCGTATCTCTACTAGTTTTCACTCATCTCGAA